TAGTATACATACAAACTATATATACAAACATCACAAAAACACAATGTTAGACAATAAATTTATGCATTAAACCTGGATTAAACAAGTTCTCCCATATCTCCCTCTCCCCGACAAGTTTGTCTCAAAGTCACGCCATTGTCTCAGTGTACGTATTTGGTGGGTAGTACAAACGCGAGAATATGCCCTTGGACAAATTCAAAATGGTGTCCTGTCCATTTGAAGCATGAGTGGTTTTTGATTCCAAACCTGATCAGAACATACATTTGTGGAGCCAAAAATGGAAAGGAAATACATGCTACAGAATACTCAACTACAGAGAAATGGTTGTCAAAGTCCTAAAAGTGACGATAACATGGACAATTTGTGTGTGAAGACCCGTTAAGACCGTGAGCATGAAGTACTGCAAATTGGTTAGCGTTAAACTTTGTCGATTTTTTTGTTTCGCACACGACCACTTTGAAAATGTGCGCTGTTTTGATGCAAATCATGGACTATGGGGCCTCTCGAGACTTTTGGAAACAAAGTGGTAGATGGATGGAGGTTTAGGGTTTCAGTAAAGAGCATGGCTATGGACCTCTTTGGACAACGACGAATCGACCGGCCACAGGAAGAAAGCAGATCCTAATAAACTGCTTTATTTTCCTTGGTACCCTGACACATTTTTCCTTCTATAGCTTTCAATTTATTGAAAGCTATAGAAGGAAATAGGCCCCAAAAAGCTATAGGCCCCTAAAAAAGGTCTTCAGGGTCCACTTTGGCCCTCAAGAAAAATTTTCTGGCTGAAACACTGATTGATAATTCTTTCTATTGCTGGTTTTCGTGCCATCAAAAATAAAAAATCAAAGCCATTCTATAAATGAAGTCAAGAATCTCAGAAAATGATAGATGATTGACCTGTAAACAACCTCAACAAAATTTTTTCACGCATGACAGAAACGTCTGTCATTGAGTTTTGCTATTCAAAAGAAATGCTACTTCTCTAGGGCTTCGACACGTTGAAATTAAGATTTTTTCTAGTCCAAGAACTGTTCTGTTAGCAGAAACTTCAGCGATAACTCCTCTTGTGACCTACACTAGAGTCTTCTCGGTCTGCCATTTTAATGTCATGCAATGCATCAACTTGAATAATCAACCGTGCCAGTACTCTATTACAAAATGAAGAACCCTGTCAAACGGGGTCTTTTATCTGATGAAACTATAAAGGAACTTCAGAAGGACTGGTAATTTCTAATTTTGGAAATGATGACATCACATCAAAACCTTCAATTACCAGTCCCACCTTGCAAGGCCCCACCTAAAAATCCCTTGTAGTGCTAAGCCTCAACACCTGGACTTGAAGAAATATGTTCAGAGTAACAGTTGTCAGTCAAGTCAGGTCCCAAAGTTGTTTAAATTTCATATCAGTGACCATTGTCCGTAAACTCCCAACTTCATATCAGTTACTTATCAATGTAGTACCATAGTCCCTGTTTCCTTTTCTGCTCTGTTTTGCTATTGTAGATAAAAAATATAAAAATGTACCTTTTTCACACTGTTTTATATATGCGATTAACCATTGAGACTGAATTCGTTTTTTACATCTATGCATGTAGTGCGACTGTTGTTGTGTTGCAAAAAAGGATATTCAATTAACTTTGTTTGTTTTAATGTCTTAAAATCATTAAAGTAAAGAATTGAATATCAGTTGCCCGTGACCTGTGACTTGTGACCCGTGACCTGCGTACTAGGCCCACCGAGCCAAGAGCAACTCTGGCTTCTTGAGTGCTCTCTTAACTTTCTAAGTGCATTCATAACTTGATATAAATGAACAGCTAAAAGCATGAACCAATTCTTTCATAACATAGCAACAACATGGTTATGATAAGTTTCCTTAAATGTATACTCATTAACATCAGGGTAAAAATAATATTAAGGAATAGCATGTATTAATCTAATTCATCGAGTAGAAGTTGTTGTTGCAGTTGACCAATATTTATGGATTTATTACAGAATACTTCATGAAATCAATTTGCGTGAAGAGGTGGCATTTTCTTCATTGAGTTTAGCCTCTAAGATGTGAGATTTGCACATGTGCAAATTTGTAGCTAACAAGGTCTGGGAGAGAATGAGAGTTAAGTAAGTTTTAACATCTTACTTATTGTCTAAAATCATCACTTAAGGGGTTCGAAATTTCTTTTTTCAAGCTACTAACTCATCAAACATACAGTAGCTTCCGGATATTTTTGCTCAAAACAACGGCGCACGTGTGCGACGTAAGAATTTGAATTCCCGCTTTACGTGAAACACTTCTGACATTTGGAGAACTACAATCTAACCGAATTAAATCTTAAACTTATCAAATGAAAAGAATGAAAACATAACTAGGTTTAAAAACCATTATTCGTAAATAACAGCTCTTGAGTTAAAGCTTAAGCTCACCTTAGCAGTTTTGCATTTCCTATCGGGCTGTTGTTTATTTGCGACGGTCAGTCAACGCGGTCCCCATTTTACGTGTTTTGCAGCCTGCTGCAGGCATAATTCTTGTATTGAAATGCAAATACACATCAGAAAATACGTTTGGAAAGGCTAAAAAACCAAAGGCAGTCTCTTCATCGGTTCTTTGGCGTAGAAATATAAAGATTTTCTCCGCAGCCATGTTGCGTTTCTCTTTCGTTTCCAGTCTTTCTTGCGTTAAGCGAACACACGGCCAAACTGTTACTGCCTTTACAAAAGTGCCATTAACAAATTTTCAGACCTGAAACAGATTGGCGTCTCAATAACTTATAGCCACTCTAAGGATTTTCGTTCTTCTAACAAAAGTAAGTCGCAGCCCTAGGAAACCTTTTATAGCTGCCAAAGCTTAGGCCAAAGTTTAGCTCTGTGCGAAACTCCCAAAAAGTTAAAAAGTTAATTTTGCATCTTTAGCGAGCTTTTTGCAAGTCGGTTGTTATAAAACATATGTTTACATCGCTTGGTGTTCCATTTGCTCTGGTATCTCCATATTAGTTAAGTAGATGATAATTTTTAGCGCTTAAAAAGAATGAAGGCATGACTAGTCAGGCATTTTACGGAAGCTTGCAGTGCACATCAAGTGAAAATACGCGGGAAAGAGCGGGAAGAAACTGTTGTGTGAACTGTGAACATGCGGTAAAATTCGTCTCTGAGTCCAAGTTTTTTTTCTTGTAACACTGGGATAAAGATAAAAGCATGGTTTATCCTCTAAGGGCTCTCAAGCTCCTGCCCCATTCGAAACACAGTTACAGATTAGTGAGCATCGCTCACGCGTTTTCAACGCACCGTGTTCCTATACGAGAATTGAAGATATGAAGCGTATCGCATTACCTGTCGCATTACCGGCCAAATGGGAGGAGCAGAACCGTCGCCCAGGAAGAAAGTACTTACAGTAATACAGGGTTCGGGGATCGTACTCCTGTGTTAAGCTATTCAGGGGCATTTTCCGCTGGAAGACTTTGTTCTATGAAGAATGATGTGCACTTTGGTGTTTTCCAAACCGGAAGTTGGTCAGTGGATCTTTTTTTGTGGGACAGGAGCATATAACTCCGGAGCAGCTGTATGTTCCTGATGGTAATGAATAGAGTTTCCTGGTAAATGAAAGAAAAATCACGTCTGATCTTTGTAAATATATGGGCGCTCGTATATCCCAGCAGAGTGCTTCTTCCTCCCCACCTCCACCACGGAGGGAGGCTCATCTATCTGCAGACTCTTTAGCTTCTATTCCTATTTTCAAAAGGATTTCTGGAATAACACACCCTAGTCAATCCAACGATTTGAGAAATAAATCAAGTTTTGATTAAAGGGTCTCAGTGACGGTATTTTGAGTTATTTTGGCCACATACAAAATTACCTTTAAATGGTAGGCAACCTGAAAATAACAGTTTAATAAGATAGAAAAACACCAGAGATAATGATAAACCATAGAGAAACAAGGATGGCTAAGGATGGAGAAGATTGACACGGATTACAAACGACGAATTTGAAAAATTGAGGCTAAACTTTTCATTATGCGCAAACCGTGACTGAGCTCCTTTAACGTTGGAATTGTTCAAACAACTGTCTTGCAACATGACAAATTTGTCCCCCCCACCCCCTCGGAATTTGAATCCAATTCTACGTAGTTAAGTTAAATATGACATTCAGGGCGCCTTCCATTCGACTAAAAATTCCGGTTTGAATTACCGAAATTTTCGTACGCCTCCGAATGGAACGGTATTTTCCAGCAGACCGGACCGATCTCGTTCTATTCCCGCCTGGGCACATTTCCCGCCAAGATTTACTCGACCAAAATGCTGAAGGATAATAATGAAGTGGCTGATTAAAGGGCAGTAAGCTGCTTCATGCAGAGAAATTTAACACGCATTCACGATTACTTTGAGTAAACTCGTCCGAGATATTTACCTGACCGACTCAAGAATTATCTTCGTGTGATAAGAAACTTGCGAACTTTTCTCGCGGGAGATTATGCAAACCGGGCAAATACCCACAGGATATTCGGAACGACCAGTCCACAATTTTCCAGAATAGCAGATCCTAACGTTTTTGTGGAGGATAGGCAATCAATAAAAGGCTTGAACTGTGGCAGATCGTTTTGCATCCAGTGTAGTGTCGACTGGCCGCCATCTTGTAGCTTTGGTCGAGGCAATATTCACGACTAGAGGAACTAGGACCGACTCATACCGGGTAGAAATGCCAAATGGAACAGGAAATGTCCGCAATTTCAAATTTCCGAAAAAAGGGACATCCTCGAGAGGTTGACCAAAATTTTCAAAACGAATTTTCGGAAACTTTCTGTTCCATTCAATTTTGAACCGAAATTTCCAGAAATTTTGGTCGAATGGAACGCGCCCTCTGTGACCATGATAAGCACTCATTTTCCACATAAGGTCAAACCCAGGTATAATGGTTGACAATCAAGAATCAGTGAACTAATCAGAAGGCTAGAAACGCATTCTCCGATGCTTATGATTAAATAACTAATACTGAACAACTGAAAATATCCTCCATTGCTTTCCTTTGTCCCTTTACTCAAATATTCTTTCCTCGTTAAATTCTGAAAATCCCAAATGAGACGTTAAACACAACAGCTTTTAATATCAAAAAAACTGCCAGACCTCGCTCCCAGTAACTGCAGGGTTTTTCATTGTAGTTAAATGACGTCACATAAATGTCGTCATCAAAGAGATATGACATTACGCCCACGTGACAATTATTTGATGATTTTATTGGTAGCGATAACTACTGATAGATTAATATTTTAAAAGCTTACTTTTAGTCTCTCTACACACAATACAAAGATCATTTATTATTCCGTATAGACGGTATAGTCTAGAAATATGGAGAGACTGAGTACATCAGTGCGTGATGGTTTCTGGAATCGTTTGGGTGGATAAGATGGCGTCTGTTGAACGCTGAAATGTCTTTCAAAGATTAAAATAATCACTGGATTGTGCTTTCTGAATCAATCAGTACATTCAGTTCGAGGACTGTTTAATTTTCTTGCTCTCCGTTGCCACCATTTTAAACCTTACCTCCTATACCCAAAAGATCCCGCAAACGCATTGGCGACAAAGTTTTCTGCTGCTGTTTTCTGTTTGCGAACTTATGCCGCAGATACCGTGTTTACTACCTACACTTGATTCTGATGAACACAGCCCGAGAAAACGCACATCTCCTATGAGAGCTCAGATCCACCGTTCTCTGCTCCCGCCCCCCCAACCCAACCCCACCCGAAAATCCAAGACTGATGACGTGATACTATATACCGTCTCTGATTGGCTGTTATCTGGGAAGTCTGTTTCCCCACGTTATGATCAACGATTAATTAAAAGAAATGAATCAGACGAGAAAACCAAAAAATTATCGATCTGGAGCTATACAGAAGATTTAAGATTACACCTAATGAGACTTCTCGCATCCTACCTCTGAATTACAATGAGTTAAATACTAATAATACACTAATAATACATTTAGACTGCCGCGTGCAGTCCTGCCCATTTCCTCGGGACATTCACTCGAACACAAACTTTGAGCAGGGATCTTACCACGCTGCTTTGAAACAGACCGTCCTGCTCGCCAAAAAATAAGCCCAGGATGAACATAAAGATACGACTACGCACAAACCAGAAAATACCTAAATAACCTAATATAGTTTAAGAAATTTTAGTAATTTTTCGGGACACCTTGACACTATAAGAGCCGTTTTGAAAGACTTGTCGTCCTGCATTCAGTAGACGAGACTTGTACTGCGTTCACACTCTCCTAAACACGTTTAGTCTACGCATGAATGAAACATGTTTTATTATGAATCTTTAAAAGGTGCACTGCATAAAAAAATGATCGAAATACATTTAGTCAGAACATGATTGTACCTTAAGAGATACAAAAAGCGAAAAGGAAGTAAGTTGCCTCTTGAATTAGACCATAACTGAAATAATAGCCTCTTCCACGCGTTCAGTTAGTTGGAGCGCGGCGCGAAAAAACGGCGTGAACTAACTGAACGAAGGGAGGCTAATAAAATAACTGCAACATGAAGTTCGAGCACCAATTCTCGCTTTTATGTGTAGCTATAACAATCTGATGTATCTACCGTAAAACGAAATAAATAACGAAACTTGACTTGAAACATAGCCACCTA